CCTAAATGCATATGGCCCCGGTAGGGCCTCATTCCTTTGCCCAGATCACCTGAAATCTCGAAGAGCATCCTCCACTGTCCCATAGAGATGTTGATTCCAGCTTGGCAAAGTGGTGCAGGCCTGTCATCCCAGCTACTGGGAAGGCTGAAGCCTGAGGAGTGCAAGTTCAAGGCCAGTTTGGGCAACTGAGTGAGGGAGGCCTGAGGATGTGACTCCAGAGTGGAGCATGTGTCTAGAACCAACCCGGGACTGAGGGTGTGACTCAGCAGAGAGAGAGAGAGAGAGAGAGAGAGAGAGAGAGAGAGAGAGAGAGAGAGCACTAGGGCCCTGTGGGACAAAACAAAGGCTATAATGATGAATCTGTGCAAATGTTTGCAGCCAGATGGTTAAGTGGGTAAAGATGACCCCTGCCAAGCCTGACCTGAGTTGGATCCATAGGACCCATTTGGTAGGAGAAGGGAACGGAACACAAGCTGTATGACCTCCACATATGCACACCTCCCTCACAATCACAAATAAAGAAATACAATTAAAAAAAAATAGGGCCTGGCTCCATAAAATTATTTTTGTTGCTACTTCATAACTAATCTTGCTACTGTTATATATCATAAATATGCAAATCTCTCTTTTTTTTTATGGTCTTAGGCAACCCCTGTGAAAGGGCCATTCTACTCCCACAGGGCCCACAGGTTAAGATCTGCTGGTCTAGAGGATAGTGAACTTTGTCATCTGCAGCCAGGGTGTGACCAGCCAGTATCAGGAGAGTCAGACCTGAGTGACAGGAATGAAAATTTGGAGGGCTCAAGGTTCCCCGAGTTCTTCAGAAGTCTTAGGACCTCATCTCAGAGGATGAGCTGCCCACAACGCTGAGCATGCTCTGTTCTCAGCCTCCAAAGGCGGCTTTGTGCAATCTCAGGTCAGAGACAAAGGTTTCCGGCTGTTGGCCCAAGGCCTGCAATCCTGACCTCTGGCTTAAGCCTGACAACTCTGAGTCAAGAGGATATTGGCATTAAATCAAACGGCTTGTAAGTGGACCAAAGCTTAGAGGCTTCATTCTGCACAGGTCAAAGTCATTTGGGAGCTGTTGGCATAGGGCTGCAGGCTGACATACACTCCTGATTTGTAATTCACCAGAAGAAGCTCAAGCAAGGTATGACAATGCTTGTGTGTCATGTCGGTGCTCAGGAGGCTGAGACAGCAGAATTGCTGTGAGTTTGGAGCTAGCCTGGGCTGGACCTGGGCGATGACACTGTGCGGAAAGGGCCCGCTGAGTCAGCACTAACACCGCATTTGAGTCTCCCGCACCTACATACAGCATGGTACATACAGACACGTGGTACACTTGTCTGTGACCACAGCACAACCCGTCTCTGTACCCTAACACTGGTGCAGAGGCAGGAAGATATTGGGGGATTGCTGGCCAGTTGAAACTGACCAGTGAACTGTAGGTTCAGTGAGAGACCCTGTCTCAAAAATAAGGTAGAGGAGCTGGGGAGCTCAGTGGTTAAGAGCTCTGGCCGCTTTTGCAGAGGAAGGTGGCTCACAAACACCAAAACTCCAGTTTCAGGGATACCATCTGTCCTCCATGGGCACAGACACATGCACATAAGTAAAAAGATAAGGTGGATCTGAGCATATGGCTCCATGGGTTAAGCTCCTTCGGCACAAACAGAAAGATCCTAGTCCCATCCCTGGCACCGTGCAGAAGCCTGGCAGCCTGAATCTGCTGGAGCACAGGGTGGGCCAGCATGCCTCGCAATCACTTTACCACTGAGCCGCATGCCCGGCTGCTCACTGGGGGACTGTGGGCAGGGGCCCTACTGCTGAGTTGCATCCCCAGCTGTATTTGTTGTTTTGCTATTGTTTTAACTTGGAGGCAGTCTCACTAAGTTGCCTGGTCTGGCCCTGAATTCATTCTATAGCCCAGACTAACTAACGCCCTCAGCCCCTGAGTGCTGAGTTATAGGCCAGTGACATCACAGTAGACTGAACCTACACTTCCAGTCTTTTTACTTTTGCTTTTTGCCAGGCCCAAAAGGAAACCCCACTCCCCCAGATTCTGGTGCCTCTTTCCCCTCTACCAAAGGAGCCATTCTGCCTCATGGTCAGAAGGGATAAAGGCTATCTGTGGTGTCTTTTAGCATCCTAGAGTGCAGCTGGCTCTAGGCTCACTTAGTATCTCTCAGCTCTTCTCAGCCAGCTTCCTAGCCTAAACTTGTTCAGCTCACGAGTTTTCCTTCCCTCAGCTTCTCATTCCCATATAACCCTGCATTTCAGCCATGGCTTTCTTGGTCCTCTTTGTGAGCAGGAAGGTAGGTATGAATAGTAGGTATAGCAAACATTATACTTTATTATGCTGAAGGCTCATCACACAAGATTCACCCTCTAAGTTCCTAACTACAGTCCTAGGTCTATCTCCCCAAGGCTGCTCACCTGTATCTTTATTGTAGCCAGAAGTTTGGGTCCAGCCTCTCAAGCTCTAGGTCAGAATCCAAAGGAAACTCTCCAGCCACAGGGCAGATCAAGGTGGCGTCTCTCCAGGCCTCCAGCAGCCCTGAAGACATGAAAAGCAAAGCTCTCTTGGCCCTCTATTTGCATCATGAATTCTCTACTGAGCAGTGTGTCTGGTTATCAGGAGTAAGTGCTATCACTGGGGGTAGGTCTGAAACCTGGGACAAACGGCTAACCAGGTGCCTGTTTAAGCAGACGCTGGCCAGGCTCTCAGCATTGGGAGTCCCTCTTACAAAGTCATCCTGGGGGCACATCCCACCTCCTACCCTAAGCATCACTTCTGTTGCCCCAGCTTCTGGTTACTATATAACCAGCCATTTCGTCTGTGTCCTCTTGTCTCTTGGCTCCACTCCAGGGCTGCTCTTCGTCCATTTGTCCCCCTCCTTTCTTTCTCTCACTCTTTTCCGCCCCCTCCTCTCATGGCCTCGTTTGGTTCTTTCTGTTCTCCTCTGGCTGTGCTCTCTCTCATGTGTACAATAAAAACCTTCCCCTCAACCACACCTTGGAGCAGTCACGTCCTCACTTTGTACTCTCTTGAGACAGCCTCACTAAGCCGTCCAGGCTGAATTCATGCTGTCACCTAGCCTGGCCTTGAACTTTTGCCCTTCCTTTTCTGCCTCCGTAGCATCTGGGATGCCAGGCTGCCCTACTAGGCTCATCTTGGCACCAGTTGTACAGGGGAAAATAATGGAGAAGCACACTTAGAAATCAAACTGTTATCTCCAGGCTTTCCTCTGAGGGCTCTGCATCTCCTGCTTCGAACAGGAACACAATCAGACTTGGCTGGCTTGGGAGAAAAAGGAAAGCAGGGCATTTTGGAATCATGTTTGGAATAGTGTTTTCAGGCTGCATCTGAGCTGGTTCCTATTGCTCAGGAAGAGAAGTGATAAGGTGTGTGGAGGCTGCAGGGGGGACAAACGTCCCAGAGCCTGCTGTGAAACCTCACACCTAGCTTTGGGGAACAGATAGTGGCCAGAGCTGTGTTGTCTTGGCCTCTCTGCTTCAGACAGATGTTTGCTGACTGTGGGAGTACTGACCAGTAAACCCCCAGGTATCACAAACTCATCCTCAGGTCACCCTGTGCCATCACCGCAGGGTGACTTCATGCCTATATTAAAGAGATTGCAGCACTCATGGACCACAAGATAAGAGAGGAGCTTGGGCGAGCGAGAGAAGACCAAGGACTGTGGAGGGAAGTGGGAGCAAGCTGAGGCCACAGGACACTGACTGGAGCAGTTTGGCTCCAGCTAGAGGCTGCTGCTGGCAGTAGGTGGAGCCTAGATTTCCCCTTTGTTCTCAGTGGTCAGGAAGTTCATCACTTGGCCAGCCTCAGTTTCTACAGATGCTTCAACACCTCTGGGGGGCCACAGGGCTTAAAGAAAAAAGTTGAGTTCAGGTTTGTCCCTTCCTCCATCTGGGTCTCCTGGGATCTTCCATTGGAGGGTGCAGTATGTCAAAAAGAGGTCCCAACTCGGAAGGAGGAACCTTCTCCAGTACCCTAGGAACCTTTGTTCCCTCTCTCCCTCACTTCTTTGTCAGGTATTTTCCATGTAGTCCATCCTGACACCTAACTCACAGCAACCCCCCTACCTCAGCTTCTTTGTTGTTGCTGTTGTTTTGAGACAGGGTTTCTCTGTGTAGCTTTGGTGCCTATCCTGGCAGTCACTCTGGAGACCAGGCTGGCCTCGAACTCACAGAGATCCACCTGCCTCTGCCTCCCGAGTGCGGGATTAAAGGGCATGCGCCACCACCGCCCAGCCTGCCTCAGCTTCTTGAGTACTAGTATGACAAGCATGAGCTGTTTCACCTCTTTCCTCTTCCCTTTGGCTCGGCTTCCTGTTTGCCTTTTCCATCCCCAGACTGCTCTGCCCCCAGCCCCT